AAATGGGTCCTGGTAATTGCTGATACATATCTGACTCCTGTAGTCATCACCTTGTTTCTCGACCCTTTGATGAGGCAGAGCAAACCCAAAGCCTTTCAAAACACTCAGCATGATCTCAGTGTATGTGAGTGCGTGTCATTTCCAACATGCTCTGCCCCCTTTTAGTAGGGGTTCATATTGCCTTCATTCTCACTGCAGCCTAAGGGTGTCTCGTTTAATCTGGGTGGCCGCTGTTCTTGCCACAAGTCCAGAGCAAGCAATACTCAACAGTCCATAATAATGATTTGTGTTCTTTTACCCAACGAGGGTGAACGCTCTGAGAAAAAAATGGCTTTGAGAATGTATTTCAGAAGAAGTCCCTGGAGACGCCGGCTTTTAAACAAAGGCGGGCACATACAAGTGCACTACACTAATAAACAGGATCTAATTAGATATGGGCAGGGCTGAGTCTCTGCTGGACTCCGTTATGAAAGTTTCTGTGAGAGCAGCGAGGGAGGAGCGGCCTTAATCCTTTCCCCTTAAGAGGGACAGTCTACTTTGAAGGGCACAGAATCATGAACAAGAAAAATGCTGTCCTCTGTCTAACTGGGATGTTTTTTAGGTATGGTATGAAAAACATGGTGTGGATGACAACCACTAGAGCCATCAGCCATGGTGCCAATCTTTTCACTGATGGAGAACAGATGTAAAACTGTAGCCCTATCTGCACACAGTTACAGTGCACGCTCTCGTTGCTACACAGAAACCGTTTATTTCAATGGTGTTGTTTTTGATCTTTTGAAACCTATATTATTAGCTCACCTAAGCAAGAAACAAGTTCAGGACATTTTGACATGTGTTTCTCATACAGACAATATAAAATAGGGAATGGTCATGATACAGGTGCTTTGATTTGGTTCATGCACTAAAAATACATACAGCCCATAAGGGGGCATCTGTGAGTGGTAATGCAACGCTAACTGTCACGACAGGAAAAAGTTGAAGAAGCGCTTGATCAATATGTAGCAAAAAATGACAATCCGACCGTACACAAGATCGACCTGGTTCTTTGGAATCTAAAGTGTGGAAAACATTTGGGAGTGTGAAAAGTATGGCAGTAAAGATGGCAAATCGTTGTTAGGACGATGATGATGAGGATGTGGTGTATGAGTGGAAATACAGCCATTGTGTTTATGCCCATCCATCAGGCAACATCATCCACATATGGCAGATTAGCTAACGATAAAGGAACACTGATACACGAGCAGGGCAACAGTTAATCCCTGCAGCTTTTAATCAGCCTTTGGATGTAAGAGCAGACAAGAACAAGTCTTTTCTACTGTTTTAAAAGAGAGTCATGCTTAGCAAGATTAAAACTCTTCTACTTATAAAGTGCATTTTCTTCAAGTGACATTGAATAACAAATTTTGTCAGGATTTATCGAGCTTTCCGCAAGGGTAACCAGTTAAGCTCATTAACACTCTCCTATATAAACCTAATCAGTCAGAAAACCACAGTACCCCTCTTTCCGTCCCTTTTTCCACACTCTGGAGGTCACAGATCTCTATCCTTTCCTGAGCAGCTTGCCTAGTACATTTATATGCGCCAATTGCATTCCTGATACTAGGTCCAGATAATGAACATTTTTGAGTTTGTTCATACAACAATTGTATTGTCGATTGTACGTCTGGGTGATATGACGGTATATATTGTTACCACGGAATGAAATGTGTACCGTAAAATCATTTCTTATTCTATTTATACCTTTACATGTAAATAAGTCGGCATGTCCAATTTACAGGCAGCACATGTGATGCTGAGACTTATGAAATCGTTAGATGCAAGACTGAAGGATGGGATGTTGTAGAAACATAGAAAAGGAGAAACCAACAGACTGGGGGGTGGGGGGGGGACTTGAAAGAAAATCTGGAGCAGGAGGAGAAACTTGTTATTTATCGATTTTATAATCAAATAAGATCAAGTTCTTTTTGTAAATTTTCGAGCTTATTTATTATATAAAACCCTTTTGTTCATAAAATTTCTCACACCGTGAAATAAAATTTTGGTCATACAAAATAAATAGAGAAAAATCCAAAATTTAGGATGGGCTTTTTCTGACCTATACACAATATAAACAGTGACTAGAAACCAAGGTGTGTACCATACTCTGACATCTGTGTTCTTTGACACCCAAAATACAAAACTATAGACTTTTTGTCCCAAATGTCACCCTTAGGTTTTATTAAGACAGAATTTCATGATAAATTCTTAACCGTGTGTCACTCTAGATGGCTGAAAGTAGTAAAAAGGCGTGAAAAATGTGGGTGAAGCAAAAATGCTTTAACACGTTGAATGTTTTAACACGGTCAGACAGCTTCTAGTGGTCAGTTTAGGAATCGCCATTTCAGTTACTAGTAAATTTCCCCTTGTTTTCTCAGCTGAGAGCAGAATAATGTTGTTATTTGTGATAATGAAGTCACATCTTACAGAACAAGCTAACACAGTTAACCACATTGTGTTACACTGTATTCAATTAATCCATATTATCAAATAGATCAACCGAAACTCCAGGAGCTAGAGCCTTCTCAATCTCCAGTGATTTGTTAATCACCAGCAACCTCATAATCTAAGTTCATAGCCTAAAACAGATGACACAACAAACTCATCCAAAATAAGGAGCTAAGGCAACACGAGGAAAGAAAATATGGGTGTCGGACATTAAAAGCCTGGCGATAATTGGAAGTATGTGATAAATGACGTGTCGTTTTGGTCAATAAAGAGCAAAGGTCACAGCATGCAGGAGCCCAAACGCTGCACAGAATGTGCTCATTAAAGGATCCAATCAGAGGGTGGCGACCAGCCGAACCATTAGTCATCAGGCATCTGACCGACTCTGCTGGGCCGGCATCTTTCTTATTCCTCTCCCTCTCTCAGGGTGAAAACCGGCACCAGTATATAAATCGTTGTTCAGTCATCCGGAACATAATGTGGTCCTTTTTACTCTCATCCTGCTTTGCCTGCTGGCTGTGCAGCCCTCAAACTGCTGCCTTGACATCCCTTTCAATAATAGATGAAGTTGCTTTTTGCCTACAGTTTGTTTGAAACCCTCCTCCATTCACCACTTCCCACGCTAAATCTGATTGGCTCAGCCATACAACCAGCCAACCACAGCATTGGCATCTCATGAGGCGTTTTGCAGTCTGAATTGCATGACTTTGAGAGAAAAGATGTCCAAGAGCATTTAAAAACTGGAATAAAGCAGGACGGATGAAGTTCCATCAGTGTAAAATCTCTTTTGTTAGACTGTCTTCACCAGCAGCTTTCTTCACACACTCGGTCCAGATGGGCCCAGAGGAAGCTTCATTAATGCAGCCTTATCACAACCAGCTGATGGACCCTTGCCACATGACCAGTCAACAGAGGCCTAAACATCTGCTTCAGCTCTCTCCTGATTTCTACATAGACACATCTGTATATAGAGATGGATCCAGTGAACTGAACTGAATCCCTTCTAAAGCAACCGGAACAAACAACAATGACATCACTGCAAATATTTAGAACATCGTCTGTTATCACCTGTCCTGTTGTAACAGTTTGACAGGTCCATAGTAACACATTTGTCAAATACTTAACTCTGCTTCCCAGACATCTCATTATGTATTTTACAAACTATATTCTGTTGTGCTAATCTGCTTTTTTCTAAATTGACTGTTGGCAAGCTAGCCTAGACTAGCTAGATGAGTTGTTCTTGAAAACATTGATCAGTTGATTCTTTATTTTGCTTCGTAAATGCATCAGAAAACATCCGCACCTTGTTCACTGCTGTTGTCACCGCTGTGTGATGTGTGTCCTCCGCTGGATGGTCCTGGTGTGCCCCCGGAGCGTGTAGAAGCTGTGTCGTCGTGGTCTCTGTTCCATGAAGTCTGTGTAGAGAGAGAGAGAGACAAATAGAGTAAGGCACACTATCAACCATCACTTCATGGTGCCGTCTACAAAGACAGCTGGCTCCATCAGATGTTCACTGTTTTCATGTTTCAGGACCTAAACAAATGTACTCTGATGTACCAACACTGTTTGAAAGTTTATTATTTTCATTTCACTGCCATGATAATTATGGCAGTCTTCAATCTTAAAAAAGTTTGAAAGGCTCGTTTACATCCTAAAATATATATTTTTAATGCCATTCACTCTACGTTATCATTGTTTATATGGCAATGGGCAAGTTTATGTATTTGAGATTTCAAGATGATATTTCTGAAAAACAAGGAAACAAAGTTTTAACGAAATAAACCTAAAGCAGGAAGAACATAGTCCAAAAAAAGGGAAATAAATAAACAAAAAACTGAAGGAAGCTAATTAATTGCACTTAACGTGTGCAGATGCCTTTCATTAACATGTATGTGCTAACTTGAGATCTTTGAAAGTAACACGATCTAGTCCATCACTCTCTAATACTGTATGCCAGAGCTAAGGAGTTAGTGTGTCTGTGGTCAAGATGAAATAAAAAAGAGCAACTGAGAAGAGGAGGAGGAAAGGAAAGAGGGAGAGAGACAGAAATCCTATTGACAATTAAGCTTAGGTGTATAATAGAGAGAAAGTGTCAGCTGCTGGGCGGACGATGTGTGGCAAATGGAGCGGACATGGGGATAAAGAGAGGTGGACAGAAGAATAGCCTGCACACGCTTCTACAGGCTCTGCTTGTGCTATAGAACATAACAGATGTTGCATCTCATCACAGAGAGCCTCCACAACAGTAACATTGCTGTGGGAGGAAAATAGGAGATGGCTCTGAGTCTACAGAGCGGAAGACAAGCAGCAGATAATGCTCAAGAGGAGGAACAGGAAATCAATGGCATTTTATTTTTGGAGTTCTGAGGATGTAAAAATATACTTAATACTAAACACGATTAAGTTTTGCACCTGGTTCTTTCTTCATTTGAACACGTAAGATTTACATTTCTGCATTTGACAGACACTTTTATCTAAAGCGACTTGCATTTCAAAGCATGAACACATTTTGTCTTTCCCTGGTTTGAACCGATGACCTTTGCGTTGCTCGCACAATGCTCTACTGACTGAGCCACAGGAAAGCTGGGATGTCTTGAAAATGGCAGAAAGGTTAGCTACATGGTTTCGTCAGCCAGTTATTATGAATATCCAGTTTTTATCAATGTTTAAATGGATGGAACAACCTGTAGTAAACGTAAACCCATAATAAACCTGTTTAAGTAAAACTGAAAATATTTACTCAGTGTTAAAAGTAATTATTGTAGTATTTTCTTATCTTCAGTTCAGGAAAAAATTCAAATATGTACAAAAACAAGCATCATATTAATTTTTTCAATGCAAATTTGTGTAATTGTTTATAGACACATTTTAAATTGTTTATAAACAAAACTGGGACTAAAATCTTGTGGCCATTTGACATAAAGTCTACTTTTATTGATGTAATTTATAAACAAGCAGAACAGTATGTTTTAAAAAAGTATCAATGCTTTAACGTTAGTTTAACGTTACCAAAGTTGAGCTAAGGCAAATGTATTTCTATAGCGCTTTTATGTATGCGCCTCAAATCAGCTTCACAGAAAGGGGGAGGCTTTTGTAAAATGAACAATATTTTAATCATAATACAATTATGTTAGAAGTATATAGTTTAATTATAAGAAATTTCAGACAAAAATGAGTGAAGATTATCTTTATTAAACGGTTAATATTGCTTATAAAGGGAAATTAGCTGGGAGTTTACTTGTTTAAACCTGAAACGTTTCCGTTTTAATAATCCAACAATAATAATTTGAACAATAAAATTTTAAATGGTGGTCAATGTTGCTTTTTAGGTTTTCTTCATAACACTAAATTAATGTTTGTGAAATATATATATATATATATAGAGGTTGTACAATGAAAAAGCTTTCACAGCTGTATTTGGGCTGTGCTCAGCTCAATCTTCTGTCATTGTGTAACACATCAGAAAGAGCAAAGTATGAGAGTTTGATTATCATTGAAAAGCACAGCTGAATCATACAATATTGTCCTACAAAAAACAAAGATCTCAAGAGTTGATAACTTGCATATCTTCAAAATCTGAATGTCTGTTTTCAAGATACAGTGTTTGGTTTTTTTTACTCTCTAAAAAGTGAGCATGACTTTTACTTTCAATAACTAAGATTGTTACTTTGCTTGTTACTTTGAAAATAAATGCTTACAAAATGTTGATAAAAAAGAATATTTTTAGATATATTTTAGAAATAACAGAACATTAGAATACTTTAGATGCTGTTCTAGAAGTTAAGAAAATGCAATTTATGTAAATAGTTGATAAAAATAACAATATATAAAGCGGTGTGTAATATCAAAATGCCATGAGCTCTTAATATATTCTTTAAAAATAGCAAGAAAGCATGGTGTATTCTGGAGCATACCAGAAGTATGCTGTAAGAGGTAATCTAGAACACATGCCCAGGGAGTAAACAGTTAAAAGTCTTAATATTTGCCAGTTTCTACAACTCTTTCTAAAAGAGAGAGGAAAAAAATGGAGGGAATTTGTTTATTCAGAGCTTTGTGAAAAAAAGAATGGTACAGCACCCTGGAGACCCAGAACCCCAGAGCCCTCCTTACGTGAAAAGGATGTTTTCGATGCACAAACAAATCCCCACTTGAAAATATAATTAAACGCAGGAAAATAGCTAACTATTGCATTAACTGTAATTGAACAAAAGAGCAGCGGGGCTTGTGGGAGGCTGCCGCTCGGCCCCATGGGAAATGGGGGGAGGGTCTGAAGCTAGGGTGAGTGACATCTCGAGGGTGCACTCCAGTCTATTAATAACTGCCCTGACAATCTCGTCCACCACACATCTAACAGCTAATTAAAGGGATAGCTCTCCCAAAGAAAGAAAATTACATCATCGTTTACTGAGCCAGCCTCAAATGAATTCAAATCTTCACTGCTTCTTTCATATGTTTCATTTATTTGTTTAGCAGGGGCTTTTATCACAAGAGACGCACAAATGAGGGATGTAACAAGCTATTTATCAGAGCATGTAACACAAATGGGATTTTGGTCATCTTTATTAGCTAGAGAACCTTTTTAAATGAAAAATCTCACTATCAATTATATACTTATATAAAAATACACTTTTATTTTGGCGGCTAAATTGTGATGTTTTCCCTCAGGTATTCAGCTTTACTCACTTTTAACCTTTTTTGTTTCTTCTGATGAGCTCTAATAACTTAAAAATGTTCTTCAGTGGTTCTTTGCAGATTTGAAGGTGTTCTATAGCAGATTTTTGCTTTAAAGAACCTCTTTAGCTCTTTTTGGTTCTTCGCTGTTTTTTTGTGGTTTTTGCGGCACTTTGTTATTGTAAAGAAACTATTTTGCCTTTTCAATGTTCTTTTTTGGCCAATCTTCGATGTTTTTAATGTGCTATTTTCAGATGCTGGTTATATAGATAATGGTTGGTTCTAAATAGCACTTTTGATTGGTTCTAAATAGCACTTTTGATTGGTTCTAGAAATATTTTTGGACATTGGTTCTTCATAGCACTTTTGAATGTTAGAGCTCAGTAACACCTTTGAATGGCACCCAAAATGGTTCCCCTATGATTACGAGCTATATGGAACCTTTTTTTCAGAGTGTACTGAAGACCTAAACCACTACTTATTTAAAAAGTTGTTCAATTACCTTTTTCCTTTCCCCATTTAGTTCTTTATAAATAAGACACTGAGAACTAAGAGCAGCCATATTTCATCATCTGAGCTGCCTGTAATTGTAAACATAACATCTACAGTAATATATCGTTAAGAGGCAAGGGTGCTTCTTCTAACCTGTCAACAGTGTGAACACAGATCTGGGGGTATTGGGGAGGATGAGCGCCGGTGCTGAACAGAACAAAATGTTTCCTGTGTGAAGGCAACCAAAATCCAACAGGACCATAGATTGTAGAACACCAAAGCGTTGTTGAGTTATGTGACTTAACTTGCTTTCACACCTTCCATTGAATCACACTAAAAGTTATTTTGGCATTTGTGTGGTTCATTTGGGCAGAGATTTTGTCAGTGGCAACAAAAACCTGTACTGAGATAGAGTTGATGTTATCTTTAGTGCAGGGGTGGGCAAATTCATTCCTGGAGGGCCTGTGTCTGTTCTGGTTTTTGTTCCAGCTCTGCTTCATTACAAATACTGGGCATTTTAAACAAACCATGGAGAGCTTAATTAGTAAGATCAGGTGTGTTTCATGAAAGTTGCATCTAAACTGCGCAGGACTGCGGCCCTCACTACCCACCTCTGGTTTCGGGTCACAGCGTTCTGATATAGTTTCTATATCCAGCTCACATAGGTAGAGTCAATCAAAGGTTCATAATCAATCTCATATTCATTTTTGGGAGTCTTCAATTTGTGTAGGTTCAAGCAACCCACTTCTAAGGGTGATGTCTTGAATCTTAGTGGTAATAAAAAAAAAAACAAAAGCAAAAAAACAGGATGCTCTGAATTCTTTGACTATCAATGTGTCAATGTGTTTTTAGCTTGATAATAGAAGGGAGTAACAATAAATGGACAACAAAAGAGATCTTTCTGTGGTGAATGCTTTCACCACTTGAATGTTATCAAAGATAACGTAATTGACACCTCGGGATGATGTGTAATAACAATATTAATCAAATAAAATGCTAAGCAGTCCAGCAGCAAAAGGCTCCCTGAGGAAAACATGTACATGAACTGAAGCAAAGTTAATAAATACTGGGTCGAAAACGAGTAGCAAGCAGAGGTGGTGTGGATGCAGATGGTTTTGGGGGAGATGAGAGACACAATCACCCTCACACGCAACACACTTGATATATTCACTGTCCCCCTAATGAGCTAGCTAGGATTTATTCAGTCTGATTTTGGGCTCCGTCCCCTCCCCCTTCACATGTTTTTCCTTCCCTTTGCTCCACATCTCTCTCCTCCTGTCCTTCTCTCTCTCGAGTGCTGGATGTAGATTAATTCAATGCGTAATTGTTTAGTAAATTCAATTTTCCACATTCTATTCCACATAGCTTTAGCTAAAGTTCTTAAATCCGCGGTGCGTAGCCCAGGGAGCAGCGTTTGTCATCTGTGCCTTTCCAATTTTTTTCTGTTTCATTACCATTTTCTTCCTCCGCCACTTAATTCGCCATGAAAAGATTTTCCTTGCTGGAAATTCTGATTCCGCTATGATCGCTGAGGCATTCCAATTCACTGCATTTGCATTGTGTTGGCTCTTAAATAGAAGCTGGCTTTCTCTGCACATTATACACGCACTCATGCTAAGAATATCAGCTCCTGATATGTTTGTAAAAATACAGTAACAATGTTTCAGGTTACTGTAGACTTCCCAGAGGAAACGCAACTCAAAAACAAAACAGTGTATGTTTACAATTCCATGCCACAGCGACTGCTCTCTGTCTCTCACACACACTTTACTCTCTAGTTTTTATACACAGACCACCAGTGTCACATTGTACTATTTTAGTCGTCATCTAGATAGGAGAGAGGGAGAGAGAGAGAGAGAGAGAGAGAGAGAGAGAGAGAGAGAGAGAGAGTTTTTTATATGGCTCATCAAACCAGATTAGCGAGGACACTTGAACAACCTCAGTAAAATACTCAAGCTCTGTTGGGAAATACTTTCGAAGCACAAGATTCACGCATGAATTTTGCCCAATAGACTGTTAGCAAAAACTCTGCACACTTGTTTATTTCATAACCCAGAGCTTGGTTATATGGGCAAGATTGTCCGTAAAATACTCAGTAAAAGGACTCAAGTAAGAGACGCAGGAATATTTTTGTCAGCTAGTTAGAAAGCAAGCAAGATGCTGTTTACTTGTTTGGTTGCAAAATTTTCTCACCACTCTTGGCTAGGTATTCCTAATAGCTGGACCTAATAGGACTCATGCCCACAAATTTAAGAACAGACACTCAAAATTTCCTGAAACGCTTTAATGACTCTACCCAACCAACAGGTGTCAGTTGATTCATGCCGTTTTTAAAATTATTATTCAGCATTTTGCCTGTGCACAAACATAAGCAAACATCACAAACATCCTCTGTTCAGTGATCAAACTCATGTAAACA